ATAAATAAGTATGTATAGATACACACACCAGTGGCTATGTGATGAATAGATGAGAAATTATGGGTTTAAAAAAACCCCAATGTTCCACAGCACCAAGCAGCTGTGTCACACAGCAGTACTGAGCTGGAAGAGCACATCAAAGTTCTGTCTCAGCTGATGGGACTAGTGAAGATCATCACTGGAAAACGGTAGCACCTTCAACACAACATGAGCAGTGCCACTTAGGGCTTTACATGGAAGCTCCTGTATTTTATAAATTATGATCTGTGTTCTCTGAAACTCAATGCATCAAACTGCACAGCAAGGGAAATAAATTACCCCAGTATATCTGGATTTCTTTTCCTCATTAAATCTCCCAGGCCTTCTATTTTCAACTGTGAATGTTCTCTGATCACCAGCTTTTGGAGCAGAGGTTTTGTTTTGCTCTGCACTAGGATGATGGTGGCATAATAAGGGAGATCTCCAGTCAGACCAAGGCCAACAACTGCAGCAGTAATAGAAAGGAATACTACTACTAAAAAGCCAAAGCATACACACCAGAAAGGAATGGTAATAAAAGCTCCAAAACATATACACCCATCCCACCAGGGATTTTACACCATCATGTACTATCATACAAAACAGGTTCCAAATATCAGCAGAACAGCTGCATGTTGCTACCCATAAATAGATATTTGGTTTATGAGATCAGATTAACAGTTAAACACACACACACGACTGCTCCAATCTGATTTCTAATGGATCTGTGTCCACAACACAGAAGCAATTGCTCTCCTTTTACAGACCTGTCTATATGCTTTACAAATGCCCTACGCTAAAAAGATGTAGAAGCTCACTTCCTGTGTCCAAGTGGTCCTTCCAGGTCTGAATTGTAGCTCATCAGTAACACAAGCACATAAAAAAGTTGCATTGCACTGCACTGCTTCCCATTCTGCTGATAAATACCGACCTTCCTTCCCTAGCATGGTTTAACTTGGCATTTTAGATACACAGTTAGTAAACAAAAACAAACACGAGCACAAAACCCTGCCAAAACCTGCTGTGAGCACTTACAAATCCAATCAGATAAGGACTGCCAGCATCTCCCAGGAGGTGTGAAGTGAAACTCTGCAAGGCCACTGCAGTTGCACGGCGTGTTGGAATGACCACATACTGCAAAGAAGAAAGGGAAAGAAAAAAAACCACATCACATAAGGAAACTGAAGTAAAAACCTGTCCAGCTGTCTTGTTATCTTGTATTGCTGAGTTGATACCCAGGTCAGGACAAAGCCAACAAGCTCTCCCAGATGTTGGTGGCAGACACAGCCACTGTCCAGTCCAGGGGTGGCTCAAGCGACTGGGGAGCTCAGCCACCCTTCCTGGCTTTCTAGCACTGCTGACAGCAGGTGTTGAGGGAAGGAAGCTCTGTCTGGTCTGCACTCCTCTAAGCAGCACTGAATGCACGAGTTGTACTAACAACTTTGCCCTTGAGACACTTTGCTATTGTTCCTCAGCCTAGATTTTGCTTGGCTGAGGGGAGAGCAGAGTTGGAGGTTGCCTGCAGCACATAACCTGCTCAGCACTGCCAGCCTTCCAAACAAGGACTTTGCTGTCACCTGGGATACTGTGTTTTTTCCATAATAAAGATATAACTTTGTTTCTTAAACCATAAGCAATTCAGATTAGTCTGAAAGGTCACACATCCTCCCCTCCCGCTCCACCTCTAGCCACTTTAATTTTTTTTTTCTCAAAAATCTGAGATTTCACTTGTGAAAAGTAACAAAGACACATTAAGAAGACTTTCCATAGCCAAGAGATTGCAGTTTGGTCTCCACTCCTCTAATAGGACACGATGCCCTCAGTCAGGTCATGCAGAATCAGTCTGACTACACAGGATCAGTGGAAAACACAAATTATTTTCCCATTAAGGGACCAGAGCTCACAGAAAACAGAGCCCTAACCATGGAAGGGGATGCAAGATTAAAAAAGAAAAAAAACAACCCAACAAACCTCCATCCTATGAAATGACCTTAATTTGATAACACACACTTAGGATCAGAAAAAAAAAAAAAAATTATTTCCTGCATAAAACTTGTGAAAGAGGCTGTAACATCTGCATCAAGGCCACACATCCTGGTTTAGAAACTGACCCTGTCTTGATTTCAAGGCTGTAAGTAATGAAGAATACAGTAGGTCTCTCAATCCAAGGGAGCTTTGTTTCCACTTGTAAGCACTGAACCTTGTTCTGCCTTTTTCTGTTGCTCTGAAGAGCTGTGCACCCTGCCAGAAATTACTCTGTTTAGCTGTTTCTAGACCAGGATCCCTTTTGTTTGACTACTTTCTCTCTGATGGGCTGCCTTTCGTATTTCTTTAGAAGGCACGCCTTCCCAGACTTCCACTGGTTCTTGCAATCCTTTCCTAAAGTCATTTATTAATTAAATGTGATATTTCAGGACTGGAATATCCCCAGATAGAGATACACAGAGATGGATTTACCTTAGCTGACTGAGGTAGGGAGAACTCATTGCTCAACAGGGCACAGGATCTGAAGCACTGTTTCAGTGCTTTAACACTTCCTCTTAGGGAAGATGAGTTGCCCTGTCTGCAGTGGAAAGAGTTAGCCATAAAAAAGGGAAAGAAAAGAAACAGCGTTGAGAAAATCCACACTAGAAGAGGACTGATTCCTATTTAGAATGATCATCTCAGTCCAAGCAGAGACAATTAAGAATGACAGGTAAAATTAGATTAAATGCTTTTCCGTAGGGTTTTACCATGTGCTTTGAGAATGACCTGCCAGTTCAATGACCAGTTGGCCAAAGCTGCAAATGCAAACTGCTAACACGCTTTGACGCCAGACATTAAATGGGTACCCTGTTAAACTCCTGTTGTACAACAGGAGAGAAGATGATCAGATCCACAACAGCCACCTGGCTGTAGGTGTTAGACACTGGCCTCTTTTTGCATCCAGGAGCTCAAAACAGACTTGAAGGCTCACAGAAATCCCAAGAGGAAAATAAGGTCTAGACATTATTAGAGACACAGAAACGTACTGAAGGTCACACTGTGAAACAGTAGGAGAGTCACACAATTCATTACCATTCCCCAGAGATGAAGGGTAATGGGTGCAACCTGGATAGATTAGACAGAAGAACAGAAAGAAGAAAAAAATAATAAAGAAGAGTTATTGTTCTTTTTCCCACCTGGCCCCAGTTCACACAGGTGCAATGCAGAAGCATTCTGCAAGAGCTGTTTGAGAAAAGGGCATCTGAGAAGATAAAGTGTTGAGCAGATCTGTGAAACATGGAATTTTAAACTCACATTAAAATTTTTTTTTTTTTTCTATAACGTTTATGTTAATAAATCTGGAGAAGAAAGCCTGCTAGGTTCTACATTCTATCAATTTCTACCCATTTTCTTAGCAAAATGACAAAGGAAATGGCAAATTTATTCAAAACTTACCATTTTCAGGGAGTGGCAGTGAATTGGTGCCAGTTGGAGAAAGAAGTTTGAATGATACTTGCATCCTATGTGTGTGCATATATATATATATATATATATATATTTACACACACATAAGCTATACATAATTTTCCATGTATTCTGTATTATGCATACACGTAGTTTTGCAAATAGCAATACAATTTCCAGCAAGTTTTCAGTTTGCCTAGCTAAAGAAGTTTGGCAACATAAAATGCCAAAACAGTAAATTTACTCTGGAATTCAAGTGACAACCACCCCCCCTCAAACCAAAAACCCAACATGCAGCAAGCAAATGAACATGGGACTTTTCCTCCTCCTCTAAAAAGATATTGGAAAGGAAAATAAGGCTTAAACCAGTGTCTCCAAAACACGCACACAAAAAAATACTTCATGCTATCCCTGCTTAAAAAACATTTTATTCTGATGGAGAGGAAGTAGTTGGTAGCAAACATCTACTGTTCTAGGAAGACAGAAGTAAATTACAGCTCTAAATGGGCATTTTGATACTAAAATAGATCTAAATTCAAACCATAAGTGGCCTGGTGTGAACATCCCACAGAAACTGGAGGTGGAAGAGCCACAGCAGCTGAGACGGATGTCCGTGGGATCGTCCTGGCTCATCTCTGACTCCAGGTTCAGAGGCAGGCAGCACAGAGGATGGGTAGGGAGGCTGAGCAAGCAGCTTTGGCAAACCTCTGCTCTTTAAATAGAGGCTGAGAAAAGGCCATGGTTTACTGCTGACATCCCCTTCCTGTAGCGAGAGCAGCAGAGTGAGTTGAGCTGAAATAAGTTAACCAGGAAAGCCAAGGAGAGATCATCCTTCTCCCAGTAAAAGGCCACGTGCCAAAGAGGTAAGTTCTGATGTTCATGTCTAATCTTTGATAGAGAACTCTACTCTAAAAGACTTTGCTACCCTTTCTGGATCAGACAGTAATCTTCAGGTCAGTGCAAAGTGGTCTCTTTCAGCACAAAAGGCCAAGAAAACACACACTAACCCCGTTCCAGCCACTGACAGAGCCTGAAAATAGTCCAGGTGTCACTTTTGTAACTACTGCTCAGACAAGACAAAGGCTGTGATCCAGAGAAACCAGCCTGAGGAAGAGCCCTCATACAAGCTAGGCAAACACTGTCCAAAAAAATACCTTTAAATGAAGTAAAAGGAGGCTGAGCTGCTCTTCAAATCACAGCACAACATCCATCTGTACACATCCATCTGCAACCCTTTGCCCACAGAAGAATTGCAGAGATGCTCCTTGGCACACTCCTCCTGTGCTGAAGTGTTTGAGGTGGGCTGGGTACCTTGGTGCAAAGGCACCTCTCACCCTAAACCACAGCACTCACAGGACTGATGTGTGGAGGAACCCTGAGAGGAGCAACAATGAGAACTTCTGGAAATGCTATTTATCTTCAGCTGTAAAAATAGGGCAGTATTGTATACTGCATAAATAATTGGTTTTTATTTATAGGGAAGGTAATCAGAACAAAAGCAACTCTCCTCCATGCCTATAGCACAGCTGAGCACCTGTCTATGCCTGTTTCAAGCCTAAAGGAAGACTTGGAATCTACAGCAAAACATTAAGGCAGCTCCTCCATGGCAACTCATGACCATTTATAAAGAACTCATGTTGTAAAAGAAAAAAAGAAATAGGCAAGAGCATTTTTTTTTTTGCATAAACTGGAGGATGGCTGTTCTCAGCAAAGACCTAAAACAACTGTGTTTGCAATAGTTTAAATTGCCTACTGGTTCTTACACAGAAATGCCACCAAGCCTCTGTCCTTCTTCTTTGACATGTTTTATGGAGGAAAAACCCCACTATTAGGACCAGATTCCACAAAGTCCCAAGCACTCAGCATGTCTCAGAACGTTCCACGCTTGCCTGCTGCACTGAAGCTCATCCATTATTGCTGTTACAAGGCAGTTTTAATGCTACTTTGGGGTTGTGGTAATTTTGAGGCCAATTTGCAAAGATGGCTGATAAAAATCTGTTTCATAATTAGCATGCTCCATAAGAACCAGTCCCCCCTCTCTCCCCAAGCACCATCTGAGCATGTGCCTGGGAGGAGATCTGGAGAGTTGTGCTCAGGAGAATAAGGCCTGTTTTGTACAAATTTGCATTTGGAACAAAAAAAACAGCTTTTTAAAAATCTCAGGCAGTGCAGTACATTCTGCAGTGCTGACAGTTCATCAAACCCACCACTCAGCACCTTTTACTGCAGACAATTTGAGGAGCTGCACACCGACTGGTACACTGGCAAGGACAGCAGATGGAATGAAAGCACAAAGCTATGAAGAGCCAACAAATAAATTTGAAGATAATAAGCAAATATCTTTGTTTTGCCAAGGAAATTAAACTTGCAAAACCTCTGAAGATGCTCACCAACTTGCCCGACAGTGTTCTTAAGCAGTCATGAGATCTGTAAAACTTGGGAGAGCTATGATAAATCATTTGGGATGCAGTTTCCAAAAAGCCTCACTTCTGGCATAATG